CAAATTCAGGATAAAAAATGTCTCACCTGCCCGACAACAGGAACAAGCACTCAATTTGTTCTTTTATATAACAAGCAGTTTTGTAAACCGTCCATTTGAAGAATTTCAAAACGCACTTTTATTTAAAAGCCATGTCTCTATTTATTGTTTTATTTATCTACATGTATTTAGAAAATATTCATAGAGTAAGAATATAATAAAAACTTTGAATTGTATAAAATCTGATGTAGTGTAGGGAATCCACTAAGGACAGAACTCGTAAAACAGTAATAATGGTCCCTTAGCTTGGTTCACTAGGTATTACCGTTCACTAATAAGCTTATAGAGTCTGGAATAAGGCTACTAATATAGAATACCATGTGAACACAGTATGCTAGATGCATTTTTTCAATCGAGTGTGCCCCAAATAAGGCAATAAAGTCACTAAAATGTAAGCTATTAATGGGTATGAAAGAAATAAAAACAGAAAACATTACGAAAGAGCGAGAGCAACAGAAGTGTAATCAGGAAGACAGAAGATAACGATTGACATTGCATTTAAATATATGAAGATCAAAGTTGTCCGGAAAGAATGGAGCCAGTAGAGAGTTCCACAAACGAGAAGCACGAGAAAGGAAAGCGTTAGCATAGAACTTACGGCAACATCTATAACCAGTTCAACTCTTAATTGATAGAATCTCGACGTCAGTCTAGCACTTCGCTTAAATTCATGAAATCTACGTATCATAGCGTAGAGCTCATCCAAACAATTACCTTGAAAGTATTTATAGAAAAAAAAAAACAGGGAAACAACTTTATGGCGCTGTTGAAAGTGACTAAAGCCGAGATGCCAGATAAAAAAGACAATATATACATTTTTATATACGAGAACAATGTTAGAAAGCTTACTGCTAAAGTGGAAATATTTTTTGTGGTGATGCGTTTCCTCTTTTGGATTTCATATATTACTAATATATATTGTTTCTAAAGTTTAAAAAGCCTGACACAATTTTATTTCCCACAGTAATTTTCGTATATCACACAACACGCACAAAAGGTGACCAAATACAGTGATAAAATCACTCACATACATGAACGCACGGTCACATGAACGCACACTCACATACAGGGAGACACGAATATATATATATATATATATATATATATATATATATATATATATATATATACACACACACACACACACACACACATATATATATATATATATATATATATATATATATATATATATATATATATGAATATAACTATAAATAACTAGACTCGTTTCGAAAAACCCTCGAATTTTGATTTGTTAATCAAATCAATTTCGAGGGAAATCAAATCACCCAGCCCATATTATAAGGCATATCTCTAAAAATATTGGGTATAGACTCTACTAATTCCTCCAATAGGGACATTTTGAGGCCAACAAAATAAGTTATGAGCAAGCCCTAATTAGAGTGGACATAAAAATAAATTAGAATATATAGACAACCACAATATTACTCGGAATAGACATAATGGGCAAAGAAAAATTTTTGGTTTAATCCCCCTTTCAATTTAGCGCAAAAAACTAAAATTGGTAAGATATTTTTAATTTATTGAACAACATTTCCCAAAAAACTGAGTTACATAAAATATTTAACAAAATAATGTAAAACTTAGTTATTGTTGTATGCCGAACGTAGGGACTATTATAAACGGATTGAATAAGAAAAAAAACTAGGAATGATCCACGTAGCAATCCTCCTACTTGTAATTGTAGAAACAAAAACATCTGTCCATTACAGGAAAATGCCAGCAAGAATGCGTGGTGTATCAAGTGAAGATTTACAAAAAATAGTGAGGATACTAACCCTAAAACATACATAGGTGCTACTCAGGATAAATTTAAGAAAAGATATTATAACCATACGAGTAGTTTTAAGAATGCAAAAATTAAACATAGTACCACGCTATCTACCTACGTATGGAAAACCAAACAAGATAATATAGACCCCATCCTTAAATGGGAAATATTAAAAAAATGACAAAAATATAAAGCAGGCCATAAATTTTGCAAATTATGTGCTGAGGAGAAATTAGCCATAGCTTTATATGATCGCCCTAACCAGCTATTGAACTCTAAAACTGAAATTCTCAATGTATGTAGACATAAAAAATCATGGTTACTAAATTAGACATTTTCCCGTTATTGACTTTCCACTGAGGATTCTTTTTTTTTTTTTGTTGTTGAATAAATATTTACCCACCCACCCACTTAGGTTGTTGTTTTTTGGAAATCTCCGCTTTTACCTGAAGACGGTCACGAGACCAGAAACACGTGTAGTAAAATTATGGAAAATAAAGCATAATATTTTTTTTCTAAAAAACACATTACAACCAAAATGTTTGCGGCACCTCTCTTCCCTTCTTTTTAATATGCATAATTTTCTCTCGTTGGAACCACTACAACTTCTTTCTTTTATATATATATATATATATATATATATATATATATATATATGTGTGTGTGTGTGTGTGTGTGTGTGTGTATGTATGTATATATATATATATATATATATATATATATATATATATGATAAAATATAGTTTTAAGGTATGGCTATTAATTTTTAAAATATCTCTGGTTATCGTAATGTTGACGTAGATATATATTACACTGGTATTACAGTTTTATTAATTTCAAAAATTATATTTGGTATTTAAAATGAACGGGATTTATGCCTATATGTAGCCATTAATTCCATTCTCTTGTTTAATAAGCTAGGTTTATTTAAGTTTTTTAAGATAACCAATTTCTCAAAAAGACATAAGTTACATTTATTTTGATTCTTGTTATAATAACCTTGTTGATGGAAGCTGAATTGCTATTATTTTTTAATTGCCAGAAACATTTGGAGAGTGCAGTGGTGTTTTTGTATTTTATATTACCTCATGTCATTCTATGATGGTAAAAATGAAATTTCCAAGTGTTTTCAGAGGAACCGAAATAAAATTTAACATCATTACCGGAATGTACGCTCGCTCGGTATACAATATTATCGATCATACATTAACCGTTTAAGGGACAGATCATGTTTTTTTCGTATAGTGTATAGAGTAGAGAATAGCGGTCTACTATTCTCTACTCTATTCAATATACTATTTATCTATTCAGATTACTATTACGGTGGCTACTATTCGAGCGAGTATTATTGCGCAAGTACTATTAGGGCGAGTGTTGGAAGGCGTCTGACACGAGCATTGTACAACAGCATTTCTATAGTTGTATCTGCGATTACAAAGGCTCTACTACAACGAGCATTACGAAAGTGACAACGAGTATTCGTTGGCATCACAAAAGTGTCAAACAAGTGTTCGTTGACATCACAAAACTCTTTTTCTCACACCCGTAATGTAGCTTCCCTGTGTCTATTCTATACTTTCGTGGTAATTGTTCTGATAAACTTTGCTCTACGATATCTAGCCTTGAATTTGAGATCAGTACTAGATTGGAGGAGGCACGGTGGACTAATGAATAGCGGCCCGGATTTAGAAATCGGAGAGACGTGTTCGAAATCCAGTCGAATCCACTACATTCACTTACGTGCTAATACCCTTGGGAAAGGTATGAATCTTCTTCTTTCTCCAGCTATGGGTAAATAGCAGGACAGACCGGGCTTTATAGCCTTGCATAGCAACTGGTCTACCGCAGAAAGAAATGGCAACCTAATGCGGGAAAAAATCTGTCTCGTCAGTCATGTATCGAAAGATACATGATCGCCTAAGCATGTATCACGCAAGGCACATAAGTGACTGACTAGATTGGTAACAAGGTGTCATTATTTTACGATCGATTTGACTAGATGCATTCGTAAGTTCTTTGCAAACAGTTTCTTTTCTCGCACTTCTCCTATGTGGAACTCACTTCCGACCTCTTGCTATCCATCCAAATTTTGGTCTTCAAAATTTAAATGCAGTGTCAATCGTTATCGACTGACTTCTTGATTCCACTTCTTTTGTTGTTCCAGCTCTTTAAATTTTCCTTTTTTTTTATTCATTGTCTGTAATCTCTTATGCCTTAGTGGCTTTATTGCCTTCTTTACAAGATGACGTATAGATCACAGATCGAAAACTAAAGAAAATAATTCTCATGGAGTTGTTTTGAAAACACTAAAATGACAAAATGGCTGTGCTAAAGGACAAACAGATTAAGCTAATGACCAAACACAATAGAAAATGAAAATGTTCTAGTCCTCCATATTCCTAAATTAATCGAAATTGATTGCTCAAAATAAAACTGGTCAACATTATCTATTATTCGAACTTACGATGTAAAACTATCCAAGGACACGTGCAGAAAACAGGAATGTTATGCCAAGAGGCCAGATGCCCGTTTCTAGGTTCGAATCACTACTTTGACATAAAGATCTATGATCTACACGTCTCTATTGTTTTGTACGTTTTCCATTTTACAGCTACCTTCGCCTACCTTCAATTCCCGGAGGAATTATTGTTCCTTATTTTTCCTCTGCCAAAGACGGTAACCCCAGCTGCAGGTATTGGCTTTCAGTAAGGGTCAGATCTTTTTTCCCGCCAAGTGATGGTGTCCGCGGTCAACATGTATTATTAAAGGAAGTGGAATATCTCTGGCTGTCAATTTTTGTTATGCCTCACAAGAAATGTGGAATTTGTAATCGAGTCATTGTCAAATGGGCGGGATTGTCACATCACTCTTTAGAGGTGACTCAAGTTACGAGGTTGCAGTTACTGACCTCGTCATCATGGGAAGTAGCCATACACCGCATCAAACCATTTAGTCCGATGTGAACACTCACACATACACAGATTCAAAAGCAAATGGAGACATGCAATGAGAGGAAATACCTCTCACAGTCATATATAAGTCATATTTCCCGCCAAAACTTTCATATGGAAGCCATCTTTATTAAAGAATTTTTAAATAGAAAGAAAGATTAACTACTTTCCGACAAAATTATATTGAGGCTATATGCCATCAATAAACAATAAACAAGAAGAAAATGATAGATAGATAGATAGATAGATAGATAGATAGATAGATAGATAGATAGATAGATAGATAATTAACAAACTGAGATAGATAGAGATAGATAGATAGATAGATAGATAGATAGATAGATAGAATAGATATAAACAGACTGAGATAGATAGATAGATAGATAGATAGATAGATAGATAGATAGATAGATAATTAACAAACTGAGATAGATAGATAGATAGATAGATAGATATAAACAGACTGAGATAGATAGATAGATAGATAGATAGATAGATAATTAACAAACTGAGATAGATAGATAGATAGATAGATAGATAGATAGATAGATAGATATTTACAAATTGAAATAAATAGATAATTTTCAAATTAAGACAGATAATTAACAAGCTGGGATAGATAGAAAGACAGACAGATAACAAACTGCAATAAACTGACAGACTAAAACAGTCAATACGATCTATTTAAAATTTTTTCGTAACACAATGTTTACATTCGAATTCATTAATTCATTGAATTTCAAAGATAACAGTCTGGACGATTCTATCTTTTTAGGCGAAAAATCTGCCCCAGACGTCCTTATTCTTATTCGTTTTCCTAAATTTTCACGAAATTTAATGCCGGCCCGTAATTTAGAAATGAGCAAGTGGAGAGCGACTCTGAATGAGAAACTGGAGAGCCAAGTTCGAAGTCCAGTCGTGTTCGTTACATTCACTTATGCGTAAATAGCACTGGGAAAAGTGTAAATCGATCTCTTCTCTCTCCAGTTATGGGTTAAATATTAAATCTAGTCGAACTTGCATCTAGTAAAATCATTTATCTCACAAAAATGTTTTATACAGCATTCATTCACTAAACAAATAAAGAATTATCTTTAAAAAAGAACATCCTAATTTAGGCGAAAGCCTTTCATTACAAAAAATTAATAAACACACACACACACACGCATATATATATATATATATATATATATATATATATATATATATATATATATATATATAGTTTATGCAAATTTAGGTAATCCTTATGGGTAGACCTGAGGAGGATGATATCCAGAGAGCTCAATGTTAACTTCAGAGCAGATTCATTTCAGCTTTTGGAAGTAAAGTCTGATGATCCAGAACCCTGTTGAAGGGGTTATGGTGAAATAGCTTATTACATGGAATCTTAACGTGGTCTGTCTTTTATTCAAAAAATATATATATATATAAATATATATATATATATTTTATTTCATTATTTTTCATTATTTACGCATTTATTTTAATCGTAAATTTATTTTAATTTTACGTATACATATCTTCGTAAAATTTTAGACGTGTTCCAACCATACCATTTTGGCGTTCTTTTCATTTTCATTGTTTGTTTAAAATCATTTGCCAACGAAAGACCCTGATGAAGCGTTGGCCGAAAGGTACCTAGGTCCTGCAAACAAAACAAAAAAATGGTCATACAAAAGAAATTCATTTTCTTTAAATCGTTATATTTGTTTTGTGGTATCAAAACATTATTCCAATATATATATATATATATATATATATATATATATATATTCCATGCGTAAGTCATCCAAGTAGATCCTAATAATATAATATATAAAACTGACCCACAAAAGAGAGCTGAATATATTTATTATAGCGTATACAAATGAATTACATAAAAATGAAACTCAACTGTACCCCATTTTGATGGCCATTTCGCACGCCACCAGGATAATCTCTCTGGGACTTGTCAATGCCGTTTTAGCATTCGGTATCTATACCGATGACATAACTATTTGTTACTATCTTAATGGAAAACCTGATAGGTTTGATACGGTTAAATTTGTAGCTGACTTAAAAATGTTGTTAACTGGGGCAAGAAATGATCTGTTAATTTTATCGCCTCCAAACCAAAAGTGTGCTCTTTTAATTGCCCGTGAGCACATGTTTTGCCTTCCAGAACTTCCAACGTTTTCCGCTGGCTTGAAGTGGAAATATTATATTGTAGTATGCATTAAATGTTGCTGTCAAAGCTGGTCTGCTGATTCTGCTATGTATTTAGTAGTTCTTGATAAAATACAAAGTAGAATCATCAATGTTATTGGCTTCAATCCCTTTCACATGATCATTATCTCCTATCTTCTTAATTCATACACTATTTACATTATTCGGACTATTGTCCTCATCTGTGTCGGCATATTTCTTAAAACGTTTCGGCCGTTGTACACTCCTAACCGCTGTAAGTGACCTCACCTGCTTTGGGGTGGGGGGTTACCCAGCGCAGCTTCTTAGCTTCGTTGGCGCCAGCTCTTTGTTAGCGATCGTCACAGCAACACCTTTGTTCGGGGATTACTTACCAGGTGTTTCGCGCTCAGTAAAGATATTATTTAAAATGTCCTACAGGTATCAATATGTATAATAAAAAGAAAGCATTTATGTTTATCAATATCATAAAAAGTCAAAAGTGTTATATATATATATATATATATATATATATATATATATATATATATATATATATATATTCAGATGATAAATTATAGAAAAACTGTCTAAATGTTCTTTTTATCCGAGGGCTTTCATACATTTATACACGCTATACACGCAGAATCACTCTGCACATTTCTGACCATAGCTCAATTAGATCTCATTTAAATATTCATGGAGACCTACCGGACACTAGTCGTAACATACTTGTTGGTAACACTAATATAATAGCATCATCTACATGCGAAAAAAGGCTAAAAATAATGAAAGCCTTATTAAAAAAGACAAAAAAAAACAACACTTAATATTAACTTCGAACATGGACACAATATATTGACCGTGTTTTGAAAAATGAAAACATTTTATAAAATATACCTACAACAAACTATTTCTTATTTAACAGTTAAAATATTCAATCCTTAAAAATGGCTAAATGTATAGCCGAAAGCGTTCGGATAAAAAAGAACAATCGGACATTTTTTATATAATTTATCATCCGAAATGAAAAAAATATTAGATTGCATGAGAAATTGTATAAAAAACTAAATAAAACCACCTTGTCTGTCGTATTCAATGAAATGTGCATATATATATATATATATATATATATATATATATATATATATGCATGTTTCATTAAAAACGACAGACAAGGTACTACGGTTGAGCTTTTTATTTAATTTTTCTTGTGAAATTTTTCTTGTGAATTTTTCTTATGAGTTCAAATGCCCTTTAAGGAACAGCGTTCCTCACCAAACTGGACTCATAAATAATTACATCGGCTACACAACCACATGTTTATCCAGACGCCTTACGTTACACCTATCTGATCACAGCTCCATCAGAACACATTTAAACACACACTCAGATTTACCCGACACTATTAGGAACATACTAGTAGAAAACACAAATATATTAACTGCATCCACTTGCAAAAAAAAGACTAAAAATAATGGAAGCTCTAATAATAAAAAAGAAAAAGCCAACTCTTAACAATATTAACTATGAACAAAGCCATAATGTGCTAACCGTATTCGGAAATTAAAAACATCATTACCACACACTGAACATACACAGAACGCACACACTCTACTAAGCTGATAATCGAATCATCCTTGATAATGGCTAAAGGTATAGCCGAAAGCGCTCGGAAATACAAAACATTCGGATAGTTCTTACACACCCTTTGTCCAGAAAAGATAGCTCTTGTCAGAACACAAGAAAAATTAAATAAAAAGCTCAACCGTAGTACCTTGTCTGTCGTTTTTAATGAAACATGCATAAAGGAAGGATTGCTGCCTAAATATACAACATATATATATATATATATATATATATATATATATATATATATATATATATATATATTTACATTGAAATAGGTGTGGAGCGTCTGGCTGTGGAGTTTGGCGTTGGAACAACCAGCATATAGCACTGATGAAGACTGAACGAAGAATTCTTCAAGTTTTATGATGAAAGGGATGAACGAGACTTAATGAAAGATAGAAAAACACACCACAAAGCAGAAACTGATGATCTCGCTCGTGTATTGATGGAGTGGACTCGTCTACGTCAGTGTGCATATATGCTACTTACCGGAATGCTGATTATCAAACAGGCGAAAATAATGACAAACTGAATGTTGAAGGTAACTGCGAATATTCAGCTGGCTGGTTACAGAAATTTAAGAAAAAGCTTGGTATTAAATATTTAAAGGTGTGTGGTGATAAAGCATCTGCCGATATAAAACTACCTCCAGGGTATATGTATAAACAGTGTTATGAAATGTAAAGGGATATAGAGTTTATGCTTACATTACATTTACAAAGTTCCCAGTTTTATAGATGCTATAAGCAAATTAAATAGTCTGTATTCCAAAATCTGAAAACCGAAGTAATTCCTGCCCCTAGAATTTCAGGATTCTCAACCAGTATATGCATGGAATGATAGATAGATAATTATATATATATCTATATATATTTGTTTGAATAAAAAAACAGACCACTTTAAGGTTCCATGTAATAAATTATTTCACCACAGCCCTTTTAAAAGAGCTCTGGATCATCAGACTTTACTTCCAAAGGTTGAAATGAAAAATGAAAAGAAATTTACACATTTTTTACGGGCCGTATTAAGCATATGTAAATTAACGAAGTGGGGAAATGAGGGGGGAGAGAAGACGAAGTGAGGAAGTGAGGGGAGAGAGAAGACGAAGTGAGGAAGTGTGGGGGGAGAGAAGACATGAGTGAGTTAGATGTACCATTTCAATTCTTTATCCCTAATCCCACTTGGTGTGGACTAGCTAAACCTTCACTTGACTTATGTTATCTTTAGATATGGATGGGTAAGTGGTGAAGAGGAAAGCCGACATAAAAGGAAGAAGATACAATAAAACAATCCTGATGAGAGAAGGTTTCACTTAATTTCTTGGACGCTGTTATTTCGCATTACTTTAAAGGGTATATTTGGGGTTAAAGTTTGATATAAATCTAAATGTCTACAATATATATATATATATATATATATATATATATATATATATATATATATATATATATATATATATATATATATATATATATATATATATATATATATATATATATAAGGCAGAGATGTGTGTGTGTGTGTGTGCGTGTGTGTGCGCGTGTATGTGTGCGTGTGTGTGTGTAACGAATGCACGGCCGCAAAATTTACATGCACATGCTCCAAGTTAGCGGGAAGGCCAAGACCGACTTTGCATTTCCCAACTCCCATCGATAGTGGAAATAATCGATTTTTCATGCTTCTACGGCAGTTTTCATGTAGTTTGCGGCCATTTTCTACTGGCCAGAGTGAGAGCCAATAGCGGGCTGCCACGAATAGGCAGGAAAATTATATTGGCCAGCATGAGAGCCAACAGCTGACTAACACAAATGTTAACTAGCATGCTAGCATGCAAAAAATCGATAGCTGCATTCGTCACAAGTGGGAAAAATTTAAATCTGCATGGCACTTTACTCCAATTGGCTCATTCGCTTGCTTAAACTCAACGTTGATTCTGATTCCGCAGAACTGGGTTGGGTGAGAAAAAGTATTTGTTGTTAACATTCTTTTTTCATTCGGTTTTTCCAGTTACAAGTCCTTTTTTAAAGCTGATAGTTTTGTGTTCATTTTGTTTAGTTCTTTTTTTCGTAACAGATTTAATATTTAGTATAGAGCTTAGAAAAAATTTGCAGTGTGAGATGGGCAAGAAGTAAGGCATGTAGCAACATCAGCACGCCAAAGGGCACTCCTTTAAAGGCAAGGAAGGGCAAAAATATTTTAAGTCAAGTGATAGCGATTGCTGTATGAGTCGTACGATCTTTGAATCAAGTACGGGCAACGCCGGGCCATGCTGCTAGTATATACATAACGATTAACTTCTGTCATATGCTGTATTGTATATATATATATATATATATATATATATATATATATATATATATATATATATATATATATATAGGACATCTGGGTATGAATTTCTGGGTATTATAAACCTAATGTCTTCAGCAACCATTTTACCAGTGCTCATATTGCAATTTTGCTGTTATCATTCCATGTTTTTACCAGAGCTCATATAGCAACTTTGTTGTTATCATTGCTTTTCTCTGGCACTCCTTATTACTGGTTCCCATATTGTATTTATTTCTATGTTTGGTCGGCTCAAATGAATATCTATTATGTCTGATCATGAGCCATTCTAATGTTCGTATATTTGATTTAATTTCGGTTGAAAATCAAGACAAACATTTCCTACATATATTATACTTGCCACATAACATTAATAAAATATAAGCAAAAGCCGATTTAAGACTCACAAATCAGTTACTCATGACTCGATGCCGCCTCTTCAGGCTGTTTCGAAATATCGTACTTTTCTCAACGTATATATCAATTAATAACATAACGATGTGTCACAAATATGCGAATTCATTTACAGGTATCATTAAGCATTTTTCAGCCAGTTTGGAAGCGTAATAAGTACTTTGCTGTATGTCTGCATCCTGACATTAATTCATTTTTCATTTAAGAACTAGCTTAAAAGCTGGCTTCTGCCGGGGGAAAATTGACCGTCCAGTCCAAAATCAAGGGACCTCTGGTCCAGCTTAGAAAACGGCAAAGATAATTTTGAAGAAATAACTCTGAATTCCTCAATTCATTCCATAGAACTTTAAAATATTACTAACTCTGATTCGGACTATCAGTCCAATTTTGGCTAAAAGAGTGATTTGGACCGAAAGTCTGATTTGTATCGAAATTTCAATTCAGACCGAAAATTGAGTTCTTCAAATTATAAACTCCATGGAACTTTAATTGAATTGATGTCTTCAAATCACAAACTGCGAAATTTCAAAAGTTCACGTCACGAAATCTCTCACTTTAACTTTGATTCTTTGGGATTTTGAAGAAATAAAATTGATTTCCTCTATTCACAAAATTTTGGAGATATTTTAAACTGAATTTAAAACAAAGGTTTTTTAAATTCATAAAGTTTTTGTGTTACTTTAAACTCAATATAAATTTAAAACTTTTAAAATCGCTAATTGCTTTCCGTTGTTTTAAAATTTGAATTTTTAACTGTTCCTTTCTCATCCGGACAACGGTAACACTGCTGGATGTTCAAGCCCCAGATGAAGGGCAGATTTTCAAATATGGGATCATCCTGATTCTGTCACTGGATCTAACTAACCCCTTTATCCACTGTGCCATGTATCCAAGGACCCAAAGAGTGTGAGTTCAATACCTGGTTAAGGCGGTGGAGAACTTGGTGAGGGGAATTAACAAGAGATAACAGATAAATGACATCCATTAGACATGGCATGTGGAATAGAAAAGTCTACCCCAGTGAGCGAAATAAAAGGTTCAGTCCGACATTCCAACCACCGGAGAAGGCCGGAGCGTACAACGGCCGAAACGTTGTAATAAATACGGTGACCAAGATGAGGACAATAGTCCGAATAATGTAAATAGTGTACATAATACCTCATCTCAGAAATATATATATATATATATATATATATATATATATATATAGGTATATATGTGTGTGTGATATAGAATGTATGTACTAACAAAATTGTCGTAATAAAGTACTTTCGAAAATTTAAACATTTTGATTAATTCGTTTTTTACGGCTTGTCAACCCTTTCCATGTTATTTATTATTATACTTTTTTGTTGTAATAATGTTTTAGTGATACAAGTGTTACTAATTATCCCAGAGCTGGGGGAGCAAGAGGTGGATTCATACCTTTCCCAAGGGTATATGCGTGTAAGTGAATTTAATGAACCCGACTGGAATTGGAACTCCGATTAACAATTCCGAAACACTATCTAATTACACGACCCGCACATCCAAGCTTACAGCACCTGCTCTTCCCAAGTGGTCACCTATCTAGAATTGAGAAGGCTTGATGTTGCTTAACTTTGTTGATCGTACGGGAACAGATGTTTCTACGTGATATGCTCATAAACATTTTAGTGGTTGTTTATTTTATATTCTATATGACATGTTATAATTTATAAAAACATTTTGATTTCCGAAATACACATTTAAGCGTCAAAATTATTTAAATACAAATACACGGTTATTATGTTTTGTCCAGCAATACATTTAAAAAAATATTACCAGCAATACATTTTGGAAAAAAAAATATTACGAGCAACACATTTTTGAAAAAAAAATTATTACCGGCAATACATTTTTTGGAAAAAAATTATACCAGCAATACATGTTTTTTTTTTTTTTCTTACCAGCAATACATTTGGCTCACAACAAAAACCCTCTTTACGTCAATGAAACCTGATCTACAAATCAATTTCTTACGAAGAATATATGTCCTATTCTTAAAAACATCCTAAAAATCTTGTCGGCATTAAATAACCCATTGAGGTTGATATGCTATAAAACAAAATAAACCAAACCATCTGCACATCTTACGCTTTTTAAAATTGTCACTGCCAATAATGAATCCTGCTTGGACTTTCTCTCACAGAATCGCCTCACTGTATATGATGAATAAATCCGATGAAAAGACATATCTTTGTATTACACTCCTTTCTATTTTTGTATATCAGCCGAACTGATTTTCTGTCCATATTCAGGTGCTTTGCTGCCAGTATCGATTCTTGATTATTCTAATATTCTTCCCAAATATCTCAAGGTTACCGAGCAGTTCATACATATTTTGGGTCTCGTACTTTAACGGACGCCTTTCTGTAATCTATAAAACTGCATTTGTATCGCTCTTTCGGACAACATACATCGCGGAAATATCAGGTTCCTTATCCTAATATCTTTGACGAACCCGTACTGTTCTTGTCCTATTTCTGGTTTGATTCTATTGCACGCTCTATTCATCAAAACTTCGATGATCATTTGGCTCATTAGACTGATTTTCCTTT